AAAAAAAAAAAAAAAAAAAAAAAAAAAAAAAAGCAATTTTTTGGTTTTTTAGATTTAACTTGCAGTAAGACATATATATCTGCATTTAAATGTGTACACTTCATACAGCTGACGTATCTGTTCGTACAGACAAATGGACAGATACATTTGTCTGTCTGCCCACTTAGTTGAATGATAAATCAGTAGAAGACCTACAGATAAGAGTTTACCGATTAACAAATTTATGCAGTTCTTATGTAAATTATATTTCACACATGTTATTGGCTAGTTTTTATTTATATAAATATAAATATATACAGATATATAAATAGTAAAGACTGATGCTGTCTGATGTTACATGAACTATTTGCTAAAAGCATGCATTCGTTCAACTGTTGCTGAAAACGGTGACATCGACGACGAGAAACAGGAAGAAATAGTTTTTTTTTCCGTCTGTTACAATTCTTAATTTAAATTAATAGTTTTATTTTTTTCTTCTTCTAGATAACTTGAAACTATCAAACAAAAAAGTTCTCAGAAGTTCTAACAAAAAAATCAAGCTTTAACAGGAAAGATACTTTGTAAAATGAACGTTTAATCTGTCACTACAAGTTAGTAATGACTTTTTTTGAGATGAACGGACAACATCATTGTAACTGAATGATTTTCTTTTTACTCTCAAAGCAGTCATTTTTTTATAATCATTAGAATCTGCATCTTGTCCTGTTATATATGAGTGACTATTTGCGGGCTTTGTTAAAAATCAGTGATAATACGAAAAAAAGACTTTACTGTATATTAAAAAGACTTTACTGTATATAACAGAGAATGACGGCTTTAAAACCGGCAACGTCGGCAGATGTTTGTCACCGACTCCGTTTCAAAATTTTCTGTATCTCTCAACTGCTGCAACAACTGTCGCTGCTACTCAACGAGTAATAACTGTGGAAATATATGCAGGTGCGAATACAAAACGCCAGGAATAGCTGTCAGGTTGATTTATATAAACAGTATGTTAATTCTATAAAAGGCTGTTTCAACTGTGTTTCTGGTTGTACGTTGGTGATGGAAAGCGGATAACAAAAATTGTATATACTTTTCGAAAAGAATAAAAGAAAAGTTGAAAAGCGATCAAGAATGACGATAACCTTTGTAAAAGTGAAGGAGTATAATAAAGCGAAGAAACACAGAAAAAGTGGATAAAAAATTAAATAAAATAAAGAAAAAAGTTTTTTTTTTTTTTGAATTTTCACTTATTAGTTGTGATTGCTGATTTGCGAATAGCTCAAAAAGCGGAAATTAGCCACAGTTTTTACGTGTGAGAAAAAGAGCAGGACAGGGGATGAGAAAAAAAATGCCCAAGAAAAGAGCAAAAAAAAAAAAAAAAGTGAATGTGAAAGAAAATGGTGAAAAATGTAAGCAAAAAATTAAATTTTTTTTACTTCAAAAATTTTCTTTCCAAAAAAGTTCATTTAAAAAAATGCTTTCTTTCTGTTGTTGCCGCCACTACCACTTCTGTTGATTATGACGGTGACGTTTTAGTTGTTTTCTTTCATCTAACCATTTTTTTTGTTTTTAAATCAAAATTGATGGCAATCAATGTTTGTGTTTGACGTAATTGCACTCAGTTCCTACTTTCAGTGTTTTTTTTCTTTTTTTTTTTTTTTCCGAAGAGGAACTTTAGTTTGCTTTAGTTTATATAG